GAAAAGAAAAAAGAAAAAAGTAGATAGGCAGATAAAGAAACTTAAAGTGCATTTTTCCTTGCCTTATATTTTAAATTTCTGGCATATAATTCAGAAGGAATTCAAACAACTGAGTGACACAATAGTAAAATTCTTTGTATTCACTTCTACTTCTTTATAGGAACAATCCATAAAAACGAAAACTAGGAATGGAAGCCAGTTCAGGACTCCACACAGTACATAAATACTGGCTTCCGGCACCTCCACCCCTATGAAGTAAACACCCTAGCAGAGTGGAAAAAGGAAGAGGCTGCGGACGAACAACGCGGACGTCTGCAGGCACACCCCTTCCTTGCTACTAACAAAAATGCAGCAGCGCAGGAGTTTCCCCCTACGTTCGTGTTAGTTGCAGCGCCCACAACAGCATACATTCTGTTGACTGGTTGAGTCCGCATAAGTGGCAGTGCGTTTCTGCAAGCACGGTTGTGTTCAAAAGATACATGGACTGTTTCAGGTCAACCTCGGAGAAACCCCCAAGCACCTGGCAGGCAGCACACCTTCTTCCGTGGGCAGGCGCCCTTTGCCGCTCCATCAGCAGCGTGGGAAAAGCGGAACCAACAGGCAGGAAGCAGTGCGAACAGCCACATCAGTTGTCCACAGCAGCCAGGGAGCGTCTTTGGGGCGTCTAATAGGCCTGGCCTACGTGGAAAGAGAGCGGGGACCTCTGTCACTGTGACAGCACCTATCTCCAGTGCCCGTGTGCCCGCTTGCGGGTAACACCTGGCTCTGCTTTGCCAAGTAGGAGCGTGAGAACCTAGCACAGCCCCCAGTCGCTAGCCTCCCTCGCCTGGCTCCGCCCACAGCATTTGTAGCCCCTCCCTAGCCCCGCCCAGTAGGGGGGCATTCGCACACCACTTCCGGCTCCAGCCTCCAAACCGGCTTCCGTCGCTCTCCACTTCCCTTTCCTTAGCTCTCTTCCCCGGTCGCTACCTCCTCCTTTAACACAGTCACGTGAGGGGCTCGCGCGGGGGCTGCCGGGAGTAGTACTGCCGGTCGGTCAGAGTTCGGCCTCAATATGGCGGTTCCGGTCAGGCAGTGACCAAGGATTTGCAGTCCGAAAGGCTAAGTGGCGATTGTCGCCGTCTCCACCTATCAGGGTGGAATGCGAGGACGCGGGGGCGAGCGCTGAGGAGCGGCGGTGACAGGGAGGGGGTCTGTGCTGTGTGCCCTGGGAGCTGAGGCGGCGGCGTCTGTTCCTTCTACTCGTCTCTGGGCTTCAGTGCGGAGCCCCGCCCGGCCGGGCTAGGCCGGCGGGCGGCGGCGGTAGCTGCTGTAGCCGCAGAATCAACTCTGAGGGTGGGTCGGAGGGCGGGCGCCGCCGCTGCTTCTGCCGCGGCGATGGCCCAGTGTGTACAATCAGTGCAGGAGCTAATCCCAGACTCCTTCGTCCCCTGTGTCGCCGCGCTGTGCAGCGACGAAGCCGAGCGGCTCACCCGTCTCAATCACCTCAGCTTCGCGGAGCTGCTTAAGCCCTTCTCTCGTCTCACTTCCGAGGGTACGTGATGTTCTCTCTTTTTCATGGGGCTCCCGCAAAGCTGTGGCCGGGAGAAGGAAGTTGCGGACGGGCAGGGGCGAGAAGGGCGGTGTTTACGTCCTGGACCCGGTAGAGTGGCGTCTGGGACTGTGGCCACTCCGGTGGCGGCTGGAGGAGGGGCCCTGAGTGAGGTTGTCAAGATGGAGCGGTCTTAACCTCTAGTTTCTCTAGGCACTTACTTTTTTCCTCGGACAAGCCAGGTCGTTAAGTAATTGGTATAAAGAAAAAGACGAGTCTCAAAGAAGGGAGTTGAGACTGTTCTCAACCCCCACGGGGAAGGAATTAGGCAGTTGCAAAGCTGGTTGGTAGGAAGATGCTGCCTCCTAGACTGACGAGGTCCAAGAGTATGGAGGACCTGTCATCTTCCCCTAGGTGTTAAACTGAACTTTCAAAGTTGTCTTAAATGTTACATTTTTTGTCTTAAATGTTATGCTCTTCTAGC